AAATGCTCAAATAGAAAGTAAACCACCCGTCTTGAATGAGCATGAAACAACGCTGAGATGGGGTGGAGTTCGCTCGAGTAGCAATAATGAACTTGCATTTTAAGGACGGTCGTGATCGCTGGGGCGCTTGCTATCTTGACGAGTATCAGTGCTGTTTCAACGTGAAGGGACTGTGTCAAAAGAGTACTTCTCCATAGAGCGGCCGTATTTGCTCACAGCAGCGTTTTGTAAGAGCTCCACAGTACCGGACTCAAAAAAGTTTGCTGCCAGCCTTACTTCTTATAACATTACATTTGTTCGCTATCGCGTTCATTGTGTTGCATTTAATGCACCGTCGTGTTGCCAGAACTAATCGGGTAATCGCGAAAGCCTGCGAAACACGCAGCATGGCGCTAGACGGAAGCGCGTGACAAGTTGACCTCCGAAGATCCGTCGTCACCGTGGTTTTGAAGAGTTTCCATCAGCGCCTAATCTGACATTCCCTCGGTAGTTAAGACACGGTTGTTCGAAGTTAATAAAGAAAAAGTCATGGTTTCGTCGCAAGGACGAAGCAATAAATGCGTTCGCAATAACTTGGAGTGTAATGCTGAGATTGGCAAGCATATCGAAACGTGCAGCGCGCTGCTCAGGCACAAAGGACGGACGAAAACAACACAGGACCAGAGCGAACTAACAACGTTTACCACTCGACACTTAACGTGCTGTTTAAACAAAAACGAGGCACGAAATGTAATCACAGGTACAGATATCAGTGCGAACTAGCAATTGTCCCAGTTGTTACTTCGGGGTGTTTAATAAGCGCACTCTTTTCGCAAATGGCGCCTGTCCAGTGAGCGAAGTGATCTTCGTGCGCCTGGCAACTAAACGCAATCGTTCTGGTCAAAGTCGAAGGTGCGCGACTCTCTATATACCGAAAGATAAGAGTGTGCGCACAAGCATCTGCCTCCCCCCCCCCCATTCGTGGGGAAAAGCACACGCGGGAGATAAGCACGCCTCGGTGCATCGTGACAAGCTGGGCGCCGGACGCGGGTGGCTATTTGCTTTCTAAATGCGAAGCATTTCTTAGCGAACTTCGGTGACTTAGAGCGTTTCTATCTTTCTATCTAGCCGCTTACAACTTTTCGCTCTCCTGGTCGTTTTGATAATGTTATCGATACCAAACTTGCTATGACATTACTTGACTAAATGACGAACATAAGTCACTAGTCATAATATGAAAATCATGACATGTATGTCATCATCATGATTTACATTTCATGGTCTCGCTGCTCTTGTGGTGGCTTTGTTCGCATGACATGTTGCAAAAATAGTATGGTATGGCATGACTGCATGGTGAATACAAGTGACAGACCCTAACATGAAAACCATGACATGCGTGTCATGTAACAACATGACTACATGCCACGCTCATGATGCGCTCGCGGCTGTTTCGCTAGCTTTGCATATACCAAATTTGGTATTACAGGACGTGAATGGATGATGAAGGTATATGTGACTGATGCAAACATGATAATCATGAGATGCGTGTCATGTAAAAACATGACTACATGCGGCACTCATGTTACGCTCGCAGTCCTTTCACCAGCTTTACATATACCAACCAAATTTGGTATTACGGGACATGAATGGATGACGAATGTATATGTGACTGGTGCAAACATGATAGGTAATCATGAGATGCATGTCATATAAAAACATGACTACATGCTGCGCTCTTGATGTGCTCTCGGCCGTTTCGCCAGCTTCACATATACCAAATTTGGTATTACGGGGTGTGAATGGATGACGAAGGTATATGTGACTGATGCAGACATGATAATGATGAGATGCGTATCATGCAATAATATGGCTACATGCTACGCTCATGATGCACTCTCGGCCGTTTCGCTAGCTTCACATGTACCAAATTCGGTATTACGTGATGGGGACGACATAGGTAAATGACACGTCCAAACATGATAATGATATGCGCATCATGTGACAACACAACTACACGCAACCCTCATGATGCGCTCGGGTCTGTTACGCTGGCGTCATATATGGCAAATTTGGTATTATGTCATGTGAATGGATGATGAAGGTATGTGACTGGTGTAAACATAATTATCATGAGATGACTGTCATGTGAGAACATGACTACATGCCACACTCAAGGCACCAATACACTTCAACGAGACACGATGCGCGTGCGCACGTTTAGTCATGTCACGTGCGCGCCGCGCTGCGGTGCTTTTACGCATGGTCGTTTGAGCGCGCCCGGCCTCCCTTCATCACAAAGAGATGTAGCCGCAGTGCTGTCTGGGTAGTGGGTGCAGAAAGCAGCATGTTCAATTTCGCGCTGGTTGCCGTCAAGCCACGCCGACAGGCGCTGGGCGCGTCGGTCACGCCTGGCGTCGAGTCAGAGTATTGAGTGCTCGCGTTATGCTCGCGTAGCGTCGCTGCGCCGAGCGTGCGCGTGCGTCAACGTTACGTTGGAGTATATTGAGCTCTTCGTGATGCGCTCACGGCCGTTTCGCTAGCTCCACATATACCAAGTTTGGTATCACGTGACTTGAATAGACGTCGTAGGTAAATCAGACGCCTAAACATGATAATTATGGCATGCATGTCGTGTAAAGCATGACTACATGCTACGCTCATAGCGTGCTTGCGGCCGTTTCACTAGTATTACATATACATAGTGTTCATGTGCTGTCACTTCGGCTGTTGTCGTCCTCTCCCGCCATGCCCGGGTACCTACGGCAGTGTGGATGCTGCAGCGCGGTCTGTTGGGGGCTCGTCATCTGTTGCTGTGTACGATGTTGGAAGGGAAGCATTGTGGTTTTTTGTTGTCGTACTTCAACGAGCTCATCGGATCAAGAAGGCTTCGTTTGTTCACTCTATACAAGACCAGAAAATCAAGATGTACGACACGTATACCAGCCACCGCCTACACCGGCTGCCCACCACGACCTACGAGGGCCCGGTATCCCGCTTTCACTACAAACACTACAAATTGCATGGCGCAAGAACAAGTGAAAGCCCAAAGTCTCCCGAGCCCCAATTTTAAGAGTGGATGAGCGAAGTGTTGCAGCTCCCTTCGAAAACGTGTCGTGCAGAGCTAGGCAAGCTTACAAGAGATCTAATATTAAAATATTGCTGCGGCCCACGCCACCAATGTAGCAGCGCCACCTCCCCTCCAAGTATTTTAAACAGTGCTGTTGTTGAGCCTCTTTGATTGAAGTTTGTGGAAACAGCGGAGGAAAATATTATGCGAGGCCGATAGAGACTTTGCGTGGTGTGGGCCGCGGTAATGCCGGCCATCACTTTTTTTTTCGCGTATGCTTTGATATCTTTTTCACCTTGTATTTTACTTTTTTTGTATGCTAATGCACAGTGGAGTGCCTGAAAATGATGGAGAGCCGCGTGTTAGAGAATTAATTGACCAATTTTTCAAAATCCTGACCCCCCCTCAACTTGAACTGACCGGCGATACTTTAAAGTGAGGTAATATTGTTTCGCATCCATTTTCACAGTTTGTTTCAATACAATACCTCAATTTTTCGCGATCGCCATCACGATTTTAACCGCCTCCCTGACACGCTAATTGTGCACGCAGTGGTTGCGGACAAGTTTGTATGTACAATATCTTGGTAAGCTACCTCTGTTTACAGGTAAGTGCTTGGTTATGGCACCCGGAATGAAGTTGCACCTGAAGACACAAACAATCACCGAGTTTCTTCAAGTATTTTTTTTGTTAATCCGCGCAAGCCAAACACGTTGGTACTTTTCGGAAAATCGCAATGTGCGTTCTCGATTTTAGGTAATAATTTTCGGCGAAGAAACACCCCGAAGCTCTGCTTCCTCTTCGCGGGCCAACTAAAGCAACTTGCCTCACTAGCAGCCCTCAAACTTGCATCGTGAGCCAAAACTAAATGGGCGCAAGCATGAGGAGACAACACGGCAGCGGTAGGCGACTGAGTCGGTAGGTACCCGGGCATGTCGGTGGCGCATTTCGGAAGTGACGAAGGGGCGCTGCATGACGCACGTGCACACTATGTATAGCAAATTTGGTATTACGGGACATGAATAAACGACGAAGGTGAATGACACGTCCAAACATGATAATCATGACATGGAAATCATGTACCTCCGCCTCGTAACGTAGAGTTGATTTTAAAGTGATATATCAACCTTTTTCATTCATGCTTCGCATATCATCGATTCGCACTGTACGTGGGATTTGCCAATTTTTTTCTTGCTCCTAAAATGGCAGAATTGTGTCAAGGCAAGTGCGTGGCCCACGGATGTAGAGAAGATAAAGTGGGCTAACGCCAGTCGTCTCTTGTAGCACAGTGTTGTAGGCATAGGTCATAAACGGTAAAACTGCGTCCCAGTTTTAACTGTGAAGCGTTTCTTAGCGAACTTCGGCGACTTTGCGCGTATCTGTCTGTCTGTCATCTATCTATCTATCTATCTATCTATCTATCTATCTATCTATCTATCATTTAGCTCTCCTGGCGGTTTTTATGATGGTATCGATACCAAACTTGGTATGGCATAACATGACTGAAGAAAATATTTGACTAGTCATAACATGAAAATCATGGCATGTATTTTATGAATGTCATGATTTACATTTTGTGGTCCTATGATTTACATTTCGTCGTCTTGCAGCTCTTGCGGAGGTTAACTTCGACGACGAAGGTTAACTTCGTTATATCGAGGAATTCATTATATGGAGGTTCGTTATAAGCAGGTTTAACTGTAATATAATTCTCAACAGTCTTACGAGAGGCATTTCATAAGAAATAACATAACACTAGTACAAGAATGAAATACAAAAGTGGTAAAAGAAGGTGAAAAACAACATATAAACGTGGACAATGTAAGCAGTGATTTATAAAATGAGTAGCACAAAGAGTCCGTTTGTGATGTCGACATTCAGAGCAGTATTGAACAAATGGCTTAGTACTGTGTGCCTAGGCCATTATGATGCTATACGAATCCCTTCTCTGCAGTGCCTTGATGCCGAGGAAGAAGAGAGGAGACCGGATAGTCCAGCAGAAAACTCCAGCAGCTGCAACAGCGATCCAGGTATTTCACTTGTCCTGCTTTATGCTACGCATTACACACAGGTACAAGTATCTAGGGCTTTTGTTTATGGACAATCCTGGAGCAAGCATATTCAAACAATGTGTAATAAATCGTTACAAAAGCTGGGTTATCTTCTGTGCACCCTCCAAGTAGGCCCTCAAGAAACTAAACTGCTTGTATACAAAGCACTGATTCATCCAGTACTTAAGCGTGCAACTGTAGTTTGGAACCCATTTCATTAAGACTATAGTACAAACAAGATTGAGTCGTTTGAAATAAAACATCTTCATTTGGCTCTCTTTATATTTTTTTATTAGTTGGAGAGTGTATGCACTCTTTAACTAATGAAAGCTTAAATTTTCTGCTCGGCTTAACTCCCGATGCTGCATTCGTTCTTAAATCAGTCCTTTCAGTACGCTCAACCTTTCTGTACTCATAGCTTGCATAATCTTGACCTTTTATCACTCAAATTATGAACTGATTTGTCAAAAATAGCAACTTTCCTTCTACAATTGAACATTTATCACTCAAATATGAACTGATTTGTCAAAAATAGCTACTTTCCTTCTACAACTGAACGTTGGAATGTATTGCCTGGGCTTCTTGACGCTTTATCGAAGACCGATTTTTTAGTCTGTGGTGTGTGATAGTATGACCACTCTCATCATAGCCTGTGATGGGCTACAGTATGTAAATATAATGTATATATATTAATTTTGGATATATTATGCCCCTGGATTGACGTTCTATTTGATGGGTTATTTTTAGGTTTTCTTGTGATTGCAACTATATTGACACTCAGCGAATTCTCACCATCACCGTGGCCGCCATGTTTCATATGTACCATACTTTTCTATGTGTAACATGCACTTTATTCCCAATACTTTTGCTGGTGCATCTTATATGTGCAAAAAGCCATGCAATTCGGTGAGACAACTATGTCTATATTTCGTTCATCAAAATGATAAATTGAGAGTGAAAGCATTTTAAAAAGATGTCTAATTTTGTTGAAACAATGGAGTGGGCGGGATCTTAGATGTCAGCTATTTGCTGTTGAAGCACTGCAGCGGCCACGGAGACTACAGCTGCAATAAATGCCACTATCTTAACTATTGTATTATTGGAGTTGTTTGTTCATAAACATATTAAACCTACCGAACAGCAGCAGTAAATAAGAAAAGGCAGCACAACGTTTCAGTGTGATGTAGGAGTCGCGATACTAGTTACAGAAATGAAGTACCCTTTCATTATCATCGTCATCAGTTTCCGTGTGATTCATCGCTTTAGTCCTGCAGCAGTCACAGGTTCTAGCTGCCATTTATGTTTTATGTGTGCCCGTGTAGGTGTGAAATGCATGGCATGATTGTTTATGCGTTCTCAGCAAGCTCAGTAATGTAATAAACACAATGCTTACGACATGCTACCCTAGCAAAAATTCCCAATAGAAAACTAAAGCCTATTTGGGCTGTGGACACCTACTGGTCTTTTGGTTCATTGGTCATATTGGTCATATTGGTCTATTGAAACTGTATTTGGCTTTTGGTTCTCTAACAGCCTAGTGGGACTATATTGGTGTATTGGTTCTGTGACAGCCAATTGTAACTGTATTAGTGTCATCACTATCATCATCAGCCTGACTATGTCCACTGCAGGACAAAGGCCTCTCCCATGTTCCGCCATTCAACTCAGTCCTGTGCTTGCTGCTGCCACTTTATATCCGCAAACTTCCTAATCTCATCTGCCCACCTAACTTTCTGTCTCCCCCTAACATGCTTGCCTTCTTTGAGAATCCAGTCAGTTATCTTTAATGAACAGCAGTTATCCTGCCTATACGCTATGTGCCCGGCCAATGTCCATTTCTTCTACTTGATTAAGACTATGATATTGTTACGTAAAAATGACACGAGGCGTGTCTATTTAAAATCTATATTCAAACTAATGCGTATGGCTTCAACTAAGATGGAAGACAGCACGCACAACCGACAGACCACTTCCTTGTTGTCGTCTTCTCACCGCTGATACGTCAGCTACGTAGCATTACCCCCCCGGCAGTAAAAGCGTCGTCTTGGTGCACATTAACTACGGTCTTCAGTAGGCAGGTGGTAAGGTTTTAGCCTGCTGACGTGCACAACATCACTGGGTGTGGTTGCAGGCAAGCTTGTGGTCTCAGATGCAGGAATGATCTCATAGGTGACGTCGGTTACCTGGCGGATGATACGGTAAGGACCCATGTAGCGAGACAACAACTTCTCTGATAAGCCAACTCGACGAACTGGGCACCACAGGAGAACAAGAGAACCGGGTGAGAAGTGAACATGTGAACATCAGCATGCTGGCTGTCGTAGATGGCTTTCTGGGTGGCTTGCGAAGCCGAAAGTCTAGAGCGGGCGATCTGACATGCGTTGTCAGCACGATCAATAGCATCGCGTGCATATTCGGTTGATGGCGTTGTAGTGGTTGGAAGTAGGGTGTCGAGTGGTAACTTCGAATCACGGCCATAAAGCAAATAAAAGGGTGAATAACCAGTAGTGTCGTGGCGCGAAGAATTGTACGCGAAGGTCACGTGAGGTAGCACCAGGTCTCAGTCATGGTGGTCGGAGGACACATACATCGCGAGCATGTCCGTTAAGGTCCGATTTAGCCGTTCGGTAAGGCTATTTGTTTGGGGATGATAGGAAGTAGTCAGCATGTGGTGCGTCGAGGAAGAGCGCAGAAGATCGTCGATCACACGGGACAAAAATGCGCGGCCAGGATCCGTGAGTAATTGGCGAGGATGCGCCATGGTGTAGGATGACGTCGTGGAGCAAAAAGTCCGCAACGTCAGTAGCGGTGCTGGTGGGGAGCGCTCGAGTGATGGCATACCTAGTCGCGTAGTCTATAGCAACGGCGACCCACTTGTTGCCCGATTTCGACTCGGGAAAAGGGCCCAGAAGATCTATACCAACACGGAAGAAAGGTTCAGTTGGGATGGAGATTGGTTGAAGAAGTCCAGCCGGGGGCGCAGTAGGTCGCTTCCTACGTTGGCATTTATCGCAGGAGGACACGTAACAGCGAACGGACTGTGCGAGACCGCTCCAAAATAAGCGGTGACGCACGCGGTCGTACGTCCGAAATACACCCAGATGACCAGCAGTTTGTTCGTCGTGAAGCTCGTGCAGCACAGTTGAACGCAAATTTTTCGGCACAACAAGAAGGAGCTCAGGGCCATCTGGCTCGAGGCTACCACGGTACAGCGTGCCATTCAGGAGGACGTACATGCGAAGTGACGTGTCGTTTGGAGCAGATTCGAGACTGTCAATAAGTTGTCGCAGAGAAGCATCGCGACGTTGTTCATCATCAATGTGAAGAAACTGGGACATTGACATGACGCTGAGGCTAGGCTCGATGTCTGGTTCGTCGGGCTGATCAACAGGGTAGCGGGATAAGCAATCGGCATCCAGATGGAGACGTCCAGACTTATAAGCAACTGAGTAGGAATACTCCTGTAGGCGTAGTGCCCAACGACCAAGTCGTCCAGTGGGGTCCTTCAGAGAAGAAAGCCAACACAGCGCGTGATGATCTGTGATGACACGGAAAGGGCGGCCATACAAATAAGGATGGAATTTCGAAACCGCCCAAACAAGAGCGAGACATTCCCATTCTGTTATTGAATAATTGCGGTCAGACTTAGAAATCAGACGGCTTGCGTACGTGATTACACAGTTGTTGCCCCGCTGAATTTGGGCCAAAACTGCACCGATTTCGGGACCACTCGCGTCTGTTCGCACTTCTGTAGGAGCATCGGGGTCGAAATGTGCAAGAATAGGAGGTGTCGTTAGAGCAATGATTAGCTTAGAGAAGGCGTCAGCTTGAGGAGGGCCCCAAGAAAATGGGACGTCTTGTTTGAGAAGGTCGGTGAGTGGCCGTGCGAGTGCCGCAAAGTTTTTCACAAACCGGCAAAAGTAGGAGCAGAGGCCCACAAAACTGCGAACATCATGGACAGAGCGTGGGACTGGGAAGTTTGTTACAGCGCGTACTTTCGCCAGGTCTGGCCGTACATCGGCAGCGTCAACAAGGTGACCCAATACGGTAATCTGACGAAGACCGAAGTGGCACTTGGAGGAATTGAGCCGCAGGCCGGCCCGTCGAAATATGGATGGAATGGTCGAAAGGCGTTCAAGGTGGGTTGCAAAGGTAGGTGAGAAAATGATCACGTCGTCCAGGTAACACAAACATGTCGACCATATAAATCCTTGTAGGAGCATGTCCATCATTCTCTCGAAGGTTGCTGGAGCGTTGCAGAGCCCGAATGGCATGACCTTGAATTGGTAAAGACCATCAGTGGTAACGAAGGTGGTCTTTTCTCGGTCCATGTCATCTACAGCAATTTGCTAGTAGCCAGATCGGAGGTCGAGAGATGAAAAGAAGGTGGCGCCATGGAGGCAATCAAGGGCATCGTCAATGCGTGGTAGAGGGTACGTGTCTTTTTTGGTGATTTTGTTGAGGTGGCGATAGTCAACGCAGAAACGCCATGAGCCGTCTTTCTCTTTTACTAATACCACAGGAGATGCCCAAGGGCTCGTTGATGGTTCGATTACGTTTTTCATAAGCATTTTGGCCACTTCTTTCTGAATCACTTCTCGCTTGGACGCTGACACGCGGTACGGCCGACGGTGAATGGGCGCAGAGTCACCAGTGTTGATTCGGTGAGTGACAATTTTAGTCTCGCCCAAGGGACGATCGTCGGTGTCGAAAATGTCACTGTATGAGGCCAAAACTCGGCAGAGAGCGTCGGCGTGGTGAGGCGACAGCTCCTATCCAATCATGTTTCGAAAAATACCATCGTCTGAGCTGAGTGATCGTGTCACTGCGCTTCGATCAAGAGCAGATACAGCGACAATACTGACATTGTCCTCTGTTATGGCAGTTAGCTGGGCTAGAGACATCTGGCAGGGCAACACTTGAGGGGTGAAATCAAAGTTAAGGAGCGGAAGTAACACACAGTTATCCGCTATGGTCAC